TATACACTACACTACTATACACTACACTATACACTACTCTACACTACTCTACACTACACTACTATACACTACCTACTATACACTATATACACTACACTGCTCTCTATATGTTACATGTTGATATACATGACATCTTGATTGACTGAGGGCAGAGACAACGATGCTAGTACCTGCCTCCATCCCGGTCTTATCGGCCAAGAGTTTTCGTAGCTGTGGAATTAAAAGTGTTTGCATGTTCCGTCAAACAAAATCCTCAGGTTTCTATCTCATCGTTTTGATATCGCATGGATTCAAAGTTGACGTCACTCGGGTAACGACGGCGGTCAACTGCACCGGTGCCGCGGTTTGGGTTGGGCTGGTAGCAGGATGGATATTAATCCGTGACAGAATGAATGCGCATTCAAGTTCAAGTACTAGGTGTAGCCCGTGAGCCATTCGGCTCTTGAATCGGGTGCAACCGCAACAACAAAAAAATAAAAAATGAACAAAAAACATCTTCAGTGAAAATATGGACTAAGTGCAAACAGAAAATCCAAGAAAGACAGCAAACATATTGCAGAAAAAGCACCGTACACCAACGCTGTCTGCAAAAATCCCAGTGGGATGCAAGTCAAACAACCAACAACAACCAACCACAAGACAACTTAGATCAAGGGCCATCAGTCTAACTCTGTACTACAACAAAACAACAACAACCACAAGACAACTTAGATCAAGCCCATCAGTCTAACTCTGTACTACAACAACAAACAAACAACAACAACAACCACAAGACAACTTAGATTAAGGCCATCAGTCTAACTCTACTACAACAAACAACAACAACAACCACAAGACAACTTAGATCAAGGCCATCAGTCAAACTCTGTACTACAACAAACAACCAACAACAACAACCACAAGAACTTAGATTAAGGCCATCAGTCAAACTCTGTACTACAACAAACAACAACAACAACAACCACAAGACAACTTAGATCAAGGCCATCAGTCTAACTCTGTACTACAACAAACAAACAACAACAACCACAAGACAACTTAGATCAAGGCCATCAGTCTAACTCGGTTAATGTCGGGGAGGAAGCCAACCGGAGTCAATGGGACGGCCTAATATGGGGGTCTTTGTCGATCCACAAATCTCTTTAGATCGAGAAATCTCGGTGCCATCCACAAATCGTCAGTTTCTCGTTCAGAAATCACGTGGCGGGAGTCACTTTTAACGATAAAACATTTGTATTTCAAATATCACTGCTTGATCCACGCTCCATCGCATAGACCAACACACTCTAAATGTCAGAGCTCAATCATGCTCGCTCCTGGGCCTCCCTAGGTCGACTCAGCATCAATCGAGAGCCTGGTGCGGTGTGTAGCAGTGAACATCGCCACGGGAGAGACACAGGCGGCTGGGGTGGTGCTTGGCCACCCCCCCTCTCGTGTCCCCCACTCGCGAGCAAGCTCTTGTCTGCTGGGGGGGGGTCAGGGGGGTACGCGGGGTGTACGGGGGGGGTACATCACTTACACACACACTGAACTCTACACGTATAAAGTACTGTGCATCTATATAGGCATTTTTGATTTAAAGATTTCGTGACTGCAGGGATTCATGTTCTTGCTTCTTTCGGTAAACTCACGTAGAAGGGAGATACACAATACAATATAAAACAATAAAAATTAATTAAATTAAATCGCGACTTTTTCGCGGGCAACACACACGGACGGAAGCTTGCGTTGCCTCCGAAACGTCGAGATTTAATTTAAATTTCAAATTTTTTCACCTCCGTGACTTTACCGAAAAAAACACAGAGTATGCGCATATACTCTTTGCTTATTTCTATTTTCTATTTAAAATCTTCACCCACGTGACTTTACCGAAAGAAGCAAAGGATATGACCCATATCAGTCACGAAAAACTTCAAATCGACTGCTGCACATACAGACCTGTGGCCAGTGTTGAGTCTATGGGCAGCGCCTATCAGCTCTACGGAATTTAGCCTCGCTGCCACGTGGTCGCCTATCCGCGCTACGTTTTCTAAACGCGCCCTGCTAAAGCCACGCGTTCCCACCAGCGGACCGTCTCCCGCCCTGGTTGTGGTAGCGGCGCGAAACGTCGGACCACCACCACCACCACACGAGTCAATAGCTTCGTGTGTCACCTCCTCGCCACGACGGAGTAGAGAGCTCAAGACCCCCACACCCAGACAGACGTCTACGGAGCGAACCACGAGGTGAGTGAGTGAGTGCAGCCCTAGGCCACATTGCCCGGCCTGGTTGGCCTGGGATTGGGCTGGGCTGATACCCCCACCACCATCCCCTGTGGTCTTTGTGGAACAGTTGAGGGGTCTAAACTGTGTTGGTCAATCCGCCCGTGGAATGTAACATTCATGTAAATGTCTAAGTCGAGATCATTTAATCAGAATCCGTGGGCGTCACTGTGACTAGGTCGATGTTAACTCCTTCGCCTGGTCTACAGGAGGTCGTGGGTTCGATCGCGACCCTGTAGAGATGTTGACTACCTCGCCTGGTCTACAGGAGGTCGTGGGTTCGATCTTGCCCCTGTAGAGTGTTAACTACCTCGCCTGGTCTACAGGAGGTCGTGGGTTCGATCATGACCCTGTAGAGATGTTAACTCCTTCGCCTGGTCTACAGGAGGTCGTGGATTCGATCGCGACCCTGTAGAGATGTTGATACCTCGCCTGGTCTACAGGAGGTCGTGGGTTCGATCGCGACCCTGTAGAGATGTTGACTACCTCGCCTGGTCTACAGGAGGTCGTGGGTTCGATCGCGACCCTGTAGAGATATTGACTACTTCGCCTGGTCTACAGGAGGTCGTGGGTTCGATCGCGACCCTGTAGAGATGTTGACTACTTCGCCTGGTCTACAGGAGGTCGTGGGTTCGATAATGCCCCTGTAGAGATGTTAACTACCTCGCCTGGTCTACAGGAGATCGGGGTTCGATCGCGACCCTGTAGAGATGTTGACTACCTCGCCTGGTCTACAGGAGGTCGTGGGTTCGATCATGCCCCTGTAGAGATGTTAACTACTTCGCCTGGTCTACAGGAGGTCGTGGGTTCGATCATGCCCCTGTAGAGATGTTAACTATTTCGCCTGGTCCACAGGAGGTCGTGAGTTCGATCGCGACCCTGTAGAGATATTGACTACCTCGCCTGGTCTACAGGAGGTCGTGGGTTCCATGTCCCTGTAGAGATGTTGACTACCTCGCCTGGTCTACAGGAGGTCGTGAGTTCGATCGCGACCCTGTAGAGATGTTAACTACCTCGCCTGGTCTACAGAAGGTCGTGGGTTCGATCCCAACCATGACGCCCCTCTATCAAGTTCATGTATTACGTGTAGCCCTGTGAGCCATTCGGCTCTTGAATCTGGTGCAACCGCAACAAACAAAAACAAAAACATGAACAAGAAAACATCTTAAAGTGAATATGTGACTAAGTGCAAACAGAAAATCTAAGAAAAGACCAAAATATTGCAGAAAAAGTACCGTTACACCAACGCCATGTGCAAAAATCCCAGTAGGATGCAAGTCAAACAACAACACACAAGACAACTTAGATTAAGGCCATCAGTCTAACTCTGTACATCAACAAACATGGCAAACCAAAAAAAACGGGCCGAACGAAATCTGTTTAGGCATGCGGTGGCTGGGCATGCGGGTTACATGACCCAGCCAACGCAGCCTTGCCTGCCGGAGGAGCTCACCAATAGGACTTTGTCCAGATCTTTCAGGATTTGTGAGCTCCACACACAATCCAGCCTGGTTATCCGAGGATGGATCGTAGACAGGCCAGCCTAAATGTTTCTAACCGGTTAAGATGGATCATAGACAGGCCAGCCTAAATTTTAGGCTGGTCTGTCTAGAATTTCCCTTGGGTGATCATCTCTGCCTGGTGCCTTTCCTGGTCTCGACTCTGGATCTCCTTCAGGACTTCCTCAACAGATGGCACCTCAGCCAGTCACTCACAGGGGGTGACTTCTTCCAATATTTGAGGCACCGCAGCCTCAGCACTGTCATCCCCACTTTGTGCCATGATGTTTTCCTGCTGAGGGATTTCCCCTCCCCCAGGACCTCACAGAAATGCTCAGCAAATCTGCAAACCTGTTCCTGGGGATCTGAGATTGGATCACCATTCTTTCCCCTAATTACGGTGATAGGTGTGGCACTACAATTTACGTTTTTGATGGAATTAAACAGCGATGTCTGATCACGGGCTACTGAGGCAGATTCCATCTCCTCAGAAACCCGCGACCACCACCCATCATTGCAGCGCCTCACGGCTCTCAGAACCTCCGAGCGAAGGCTGCGGTAAGCCTCCTCATTCTCTGACGTGGAATGCCGTAGACTATGAGAGTGGGCCTGTCGTTTTTCTCAGCCAGCCTGAAGACCTCTGTCAGCCAGGGTCTCTGGGGAGGTCTGAACCGCATACCCAAAGCAGCCATTGCAGCTGCATGAGCCACAGTCATTAACCTCGCCCATTTACCCTCTATGTGTATCTGTGACCCTCTGTGACAATTCTCTCTCTCTCTATCTCTCTTGCGTCTCTGTGTGATCGCTGCTGCTGCTGCTGCTAGCGGCGGCGTCCTTCCGGCAGCAGAGGACATCCACGTGACCGGCGGCGTCTGCGTTCGAAGCGTTTGGGGGCGGCGGGGATGGAGCAGCAGTACGAGTCCGTGGCCGAGTGGGCGCTGGGGTCTACGGGGCCGCGACGACTTTGAAGGCTCGCGACCTCCGGGACCAGGGCCGCTTTGTGGTGCTGCTCAAGGGCCTGCGCCTGCAGACAGCGGGGGCCCGGAGGAAGATGCCTGGCAGCTGCTGCAGCTACAGCTGCTCACGAAGCTGGAGCACCCCAACGTGGTGAGGTGGGTGTCTCTCCCACCCCTCGCGCCGCGTCACAATCCCTCGCAATCGTCGCCGCGTCAGCCTCCAATCCTCCACGGTCATCGTGTCTTGGTGTCACTCGCCTTACGTGTCGCCATCTCCACCGTGGATGGAGTTGGAGCACCCCAACGTGGTGAGGTGGGTGTCTCTCCCACCCCCTCGCGCCGCGTCACAATCCCTCGCAATCGTCGCCGCGTCAGCCCCAATCCTCCACGGTCATCGTGTCTTGGTGTCACTCGCCTTACGTTGTCGCCATCTCCACCGTGGATGGAGTGGAGCACCCAACGTGGTGAGGTGGGTGTCTCTCCCACCCCTCGCGCCGCGTCACGATCCCTCGCAATCGTCGCCACGTCAGCCTCCATCCTCCAATTGTCCACGGTCATCGTGTCTTGAAAAGATTAGGAGACAGATCGTCGTCGTCGTCGTCGTCGTCGTCAAACCGAGATGACTTCTGCGCTCTCTTGCTCTGATGTCTCCGACCCCCGACCGGCCTGCCCCAGGCTGCTGGACGTCTTGTGGATATTCGTGACGAGGGCGGCGCGCGTCACGCCGTGGTCTGTGAGCTCGTAGACCAGGATCTGTCCACCTACCTGGGGAAGTCGCCCCACACACGTCCCACCACATCAAGGTGCCACCGCCAGCACCACCACCACCCACCCCGTCACTCCCTACCCCACCCCAAAAGGCAACACCACTCTCAGAGTCTCTGTGTATCTCTAGGGTCTCTGTGTGTCTCTGTGAGTCTCTATGAGTCTCTGTGTGTCTCTGTGTCTCTATGAGTCTATGAGTCTCTATGAGTCTCTATGAGTCTCTGTGTGTCTCTGTGTATCTCTGAGTCTCTATGAGTCTACCAGTCTCTGTGTATCTCGCACGCACGTTGCCAGCCGAGCCTCGGAGCGGCTAACGAGTTTACACTCCCCCCCCCCCTTGTGTCGTGACCTTGTGCCGTGCCCTTGCGCCGTGACCTTGTGCCGTGACCTTGCGCCGTGACCTTGTGCCGTGCCCTTGTGCCGTGACCTTGTGCTGTGACCTTGCGCCGTGACCTTGTGCCGTGACCTTGGCCGTGACCTTGTGCCGTGACCTTGTGCCGTGACTTGCCCGTGCCCAGGAGGTGACGCGCCAGCTGCTGTGTGGGCTGCGCTACCTGCACGGCCACGGCCTGGAGCACCGCGAGCTCACGCCACGCAGCGTCCTGGTGACGGCCTCGGGCGCGTCAAGCTCGCCGGCTGGGGGCTCGGACGCTTCCTCTTGGACGGCGCGAGCACGGCTCTCACCCCGGCGGTGAGTAGAGAGAGTGAGAGAGAGAGGTCTTCTTGTGTCTTTCGGTAAAGTCGTCACGTAGAAGGGAAGTAATAAAATAATATAAATAAACATAATAAAATAATTCTCACGACGTTTCGGCCACAACCGCAAGCAGCCGTCCTCAGGTGAAGACCAGGTCTGTCGAGGAGACAGCGTCTGAATCTGTCTTCCGGCCAACACCGGCGACGATTATCTTAACCGGTCCCGGGCCTCCCCTAGGTTGACTCAGCCTCAAAAGAGTACCCGGTGCGGTGCGCGGTAAACATCGCCACCGGGGTAGACAAAGGCGGCCGGGTGCGGTGCTGGCCACCCACACCCCTCGTGTGCCGGCCGTCATAGGCGCTGCTACTCGCTAAGGGGCACTTGCCCCTACGGTGTGTGAAGGCTACACGGGGGATCTTTGTCTTTGTGTGTGCCGCTGCTGTAGGTGTCCCCGTCGTGGTACCGCGCCCCGGAGCTGCTGCTGCGGGTGACCTGCGGCCCCGGCCCGCCGACCTGTGGAGCGTCGGCTGCATCTTTGCTGAGATGTTTACACGCAGGTGCTCCTTGAGCACCGCCACCCGCACACCCACACACCTAGCAACCCACCACCTAGCAACCCACCCACCTAGCAACCCACCCACCCACCTAGCAACCCACCCACCTAGCAACCCACCCACCCACCTAGCAACCCACCCACCTAGCAACCCACCCACCCACCTAGCAACCCACCCGCCCACCTAGCAACCCACCCACCCACCTAGCAACCCACCCACCCACCTAGCAACCCACCCCGCCACCTAGCAACCCACCCACCCACCTAGCAACCCCCACAACCACACCCAGCCACCCAACACACCCACCCACCCACCAATCCACCCACCCAGCCACCCACCAACCCACACACCCACCCACCTATCAACCCACCAAACCACCCACCCACCCACCTATCAACCCACCCACCCCCAATCCACCAAACCACCCAGCCACCCACACACCCACCCACCTATCAACCACCCACCAAACCACCCACCCACCCACCCACTCACTCACCACCCACCCACACACCCACCCACCCACACACCCACCCACCTATCAACCCACCCACCAATCCACAAAACCACCACCCAGCCACACAGCCACCCACCTATCAATCCACCCACCCACCAAACCACCCACACGCCACCCACCCACCTCTCCCCGCACGCAATGTCACCACAGGCCTGGCAGGGTGGCGTCGCCATGGCGCCCGTGCCAGGATAGGTGCCCCCGTGGGTCCGACCGAACACCATGCCACCTCTCCCCCATTGAATTGGTGTTGTTGTTATTATGATGATGTGTCTTTCCGACAGACCTGTTCTTCTGAACACCACCAGGCTTGGCAGCGTATATTTAAGTATTTAAGTATATATTTAAATATATACGCTGACAAGCCTGGTGGTGCTCATTCAGACGCCGTCTTTCCGACAGACTTGCTCTTCACCCGAGGACGGCTGCTTGCGTTGTGGCCGAAAACGTCGTGAGAATTGTATTTTATTGCGTTTTATTATTTTATGATTTCCCTTCTACGTGACTTTACCGAAAGAAGCAAAAAGGTTTCTAAGCGACGTCGCATCAGGTGACCTCCTTGTCTCCCCTCAACGCAGGCCTCTCTTCCCCGGAGGCTCCGATGTCGATCAGCTGACGAAGATATTCGGGTGAGTAGCTCGTGGCGAGCGTGCCGTGGGGAGCGGCGCGGGGGCCAATAGACGCCATCTCATTTGTTAGCGGAGAGCAAACGTGGGGTGGAGGAGGGGGGGGGGGGAGGTGGGGGGAGGGGGAGAGGGAAGGGGGAGGAGGGGAGGAGGGAGGGGGAGGAGGGGGGGGGAAGGGGGAGGAGAAGAAGGGGGGGGAGGAGGAGGAGGGGAAGGGGGAGGAGGAGGGAGGAGGGGGAAGGAGGGGGGGGGGGAGGGGGAAGGGGGAGGAGAAGAAGGAGGAGGGGGGGCAGGAGGTATTTGGCTGTTGATGTAATTCCACAACAGCCACTTCCGTTGCGCAATCATTGATGAAAGTGGGTTGATAGTCAACAGCCGAATTCTCACCGTCACCTCCGCCGCTACCCCCCCCTTACCCCCCCTCTTACCCTCCCCCCCTACCCCCCCCCTTACCCCCCCCCTCCCCCCCGCGTCCCCATGTCCAGTCTGCTGGGCGTGCCGAGCCTGGAGGAGTGGCTGCTCGGAGCCTCCCTGCCGCACGGCGGACTTTGCCGCGCAAACTCAGCTCGGTGGTCGCCACTCCTACGGTCTCCACGCTGCCCCGCGGGCCCTGGTCGACTCCACGCCGGAGATGGGGCTGGAGGTCGCGCCGGGCAACGAGAATGTGGCGATGGCGCTGCTGCTGGTGAGACGCGGGCGGATTGTACGCGACGGCAATTGTCGCGCTTCGAGGGGATTACCGTTGAGCGGGCAATAACGCATCGCCTCTCGTCTCTGTGTGTCTCTCTGTGTCTCTCTGTGTCTCTCTGTGTCTCTCTGTGTGTCTGTGTCTCTCTGTGTGTCTGTGTCTCTCTGTGTCTCTGTGTCTCTCTGTGTCTCTGTGTGTCTCTCTGTGTCTCTCTGTCTGTGTCTCTCTGTGTCTCTCTGTGTCTCTGTGTCTCTCTGTGTCTCTGTGTCTCTGTGTGTCTCTCTGTGTCTCTCTGTGTCTCTCTGTGTCTCTCCACGCCATCCGCACGCACGGCCGTGCCTCCCGCAGGAGCTGCTGACCTTCAGCACCCGCAAGCGCATCTCTGCGTCTGTCGCCCTCTTCCATCCGTACTCTCTGAGGCCGCAGGCGTGGCCACGGGCGAGGCCTAAGGAGTAGGCCCTGGGGCAAGGCCTAAGGAGTAGGCCCCGGGGCGAGGCCTAAGGAGTTTGCGTCCTTTTTTGTTGCCCCCACCTTAAGAGGGTCGCTTGTGTTGCGCCCGAAACGTCGTCATTCGATTTGTTTTAATGTTTCGCCGACGTGACTTTACCGAATAAAAAAGCTAAAGGGTAATAAAGTTAACTCTGAAGCAGCAAAAGAATGGCGAGGTACCTCTTTGTTGTTGTTGTTGTTGTCGTCGTCGTGTTGTGTTGTTGTTTTCACAAATGTGCAGCGGGCGACTTATTGAGAGCACACTCTCTCGCGTAACGCGGCTGCACACTGCGATCCTGACACGCAGCCCCATCTCCGGCCTCGCCACGCCAGCTGCCCGTCCTGCCGGAATATCCGTCACGAGGTCGGCCACGAAGAGATGATGCCGGCGAGCAGCGACGCAGCCAGCACCCACGGCGGCACGAACCGCCGGTCCATCATCCCTCATATCCGCCAAGCGCCACCTCTGGCCACGCCCCCTTTCCAGAACCCTCCAGCCGCTTCCCAGAGGAGCTTCTTGACCGACTCCGCCTTCATCTTCACCCCAGATACGCCCCCCCACCCCCCATATAATGAGGCATTGCGTAATGCACCCATGACCGTAATCACCACTCCAGGCCGACAGGTGTCACCCTATAGTTATAGGTTATTTAAATCCTTTATACTGGTAGGAACGAAGTGAACCAGCCTACAATAGATTATATCGTCCGTCCGATGTCCGATTAGGTGTAGCAACATCGCCCCCTACTGCAAACACTTGGCAGGACCCTACAAAAACCTTTAGACTCAGTGAGGCTTTCCTGGCTAAACAAGTGTAACATTCCCTTATAATTCCCTGAGATAGCTTTTAATGAAAACATTTAAATTACAATTAACTCACAGCGGCCTAAAGCCTACAGCTAGGCCTAAAGCCTAGAACTAGGCCTCAAACTCTCCCTTCGTATCGTACCCCCGCCATTTCATTTTATTATAGCCATTCATTTGTTCGTTCCTACCAGCCCACCCCGCAGGGGACCTGTTCTAAACGGAATCAGCACATCAAATTAAATCCGCAGAGGAGGGGAAGACGGGTCCCAAGCATGCGACACTCACAACCATCAGTGGCAGATACTTGGCCGAGAGAGTCGAGAGAGAGAGGAAGAGACTTTTCAGGACTTTATTTCCGCTAAAACATTAACAAAAAACCATTACGGGGAAAAAACACACGTAAATTGTAAATCGATAAAACATCAAACTCTTTAACAGCTGTGTGTGCACGAACTACACGTGGCACAGGGATAGAGGCTGTGCAAACGAGGCGGTGCCACGGACATCTCCGTGTGTAGCAAAGTCGCTACGTGAGTGGGTGAGTGTGTGAACAGATGAGTGGGTGAGTGTGTGTGTGAACAGGTGAGTGAGCGAGTGGGTGTGTGAGGTGAGTGGGTGAGGTGAGTGTGTGAGGTGAGTGGGTGAGCGAGTGTGTGGGTGGGTGAGTGGGTGAGCGAGTGAGTGGGTGTGTGAGTGGTGTGAGCGAGTGTGTGGGTGGGTGAGTGGGTGAGCGAGTGTGGGTGGGTGGGTTAGTGGGTGTGTGAGTGGGTGAGCGAGTGTGTGGGTGGGTGGATTAGTGGGTGTGTGAGTGGGTGAGCGAGTGTGTGGGTGGGTGAGTGGGTTTTTCTATTTGATGAATCAAAATGCGATGTGAAAAAAATATTTTTTTCTCCCCGACATTTTCAAAACGAAATGGCGTTGACGCGTCAAACACCTGAAATCATTTTTTTTTACGGATTCAGTTGTCGGTTTTCATTAAAGTGTAATGACAGGGTCACGCCTGGCGGGGTCACGGGGTCACACCTGGTGACGTCACGGGGTCACACCTGGTGACGTCACGGGGTCACGCCTGGCGAGGTCACGGGGTCACACCTGGCGAGGTCACGGGGTCACGCCTGGTGACGTCACGGGGTCACGCTGGTGATGTCACGGGGTCACACCTGGCGGGGTCACGGGGTCACGCCTGGTGACGTCCACGGGGTCACACCGGTGTGATGTCACGGGGTCACACCTGGGGGGGTCACGGGGTCACGCCTGGTGACGTCACGGGGTCACACCTGGCGAGGTCACGGGGTCACGCCCGCTGGCCTGGGAAGGGATTCACGGGTACGGCCACAGAGGCAACAACCGATACAACGTGAGCACGTCGAGTGAGCGGGCGGGCAACTTGCGGTTTTGACGGTGAACACGGCAGAGCGGACGTGAGCTTCAGAGCGAACGCCGAGCGGTGGGATGCCGTCCGCGGCCTGACGAACGCCGCCGCGACGGCCACGCGGCACTACGGGTGCGTGCCGCTCGTCGGCAGGCGCGCGGGCGGACCGGCTGCCGGGGCGCGGGGAAGGTCGCCGGGATACGCCGGGAGGTTCCGGACGGGGCAGCCGGGAGGCAGCGTGGCGGCGGGGACCGGGCCCACCCTCAGGGGGTTGGCGTCGCCGAGGATTTCCGTAGAGAAGGCCGCTTGTGCCACTTCGCGAGCTCCTTCCGCGCTGGAGCTCAGCACCGCGGGGAAGAAGCCGCTGCCTTCCCGCATCATCCCGGGAACGGAGACCTTGTACAAGAGGCCCATGGGCCTGCCGGGCTCCGAGTGAGCGTGCAGTTCGAAGGTCGCGTGGCCCACGCCGGCGCTCCGTAGCAGCGCCTGCAAACGCGTCTCCCACGACAAGACGGCAGTCTCCGGCAGCTCGTCCAGACCGATTGGCGTGGGCCACGGGTGGTGAGGTGCCCGCCAGAGCAGCGTGTGCGCCGCCCAGCCCACAACAGGTTGTGCGGGGCCTTGTCGGAGACGGCGCACTCCGGCGGCGGGAGGCCTGGGACTGCCGCCACCTCCTCCTCGGTCTTCCATTGCCTCCTCCTCCCCCACCTCCTCCTCCCCCACCTCCTCCACCTCCTCCTCCACCGCCTCCTCCCCCCCCCCTCCTCATCTTCAGTTGCCACCGCCTCCTCCCCCCCTTCCTCGTCGTCTTCCGTTGCCACCACCACCACCGCCGCGGCAGCAGCAGCAGCAGCCGCCGCCCCGGGTCTCGCTGCGGGATGGCCCAGTCCACGTGGATGTCTCGGCCCCACAGCCGGAAGGAGTACGGCAGCAGCACCCTGCGGGCCATGCAGGCCGCGCGGTGGCTCTCGTATTCGACGAACGCGAAGCCTCGGCTGTGGCTCCTGTCGTGGCGACAGAAGCGCATCTGGACGTCCACGACGCCCTCCGTGACGTCGCTCATTGCGCCATCACCTCGGCCCGCGTCCTAACCTTCGGCAGCCCCGCCAAGAAGAGGCGGCGATTGTCGACGCTCCCGTGAACCGCGATCAGTTGCCCCGGGCGGATCTCCGAACTTGTGGAGTCTCCTGACGGCGTTCCGCGGCTTGCGAGCGCGTCGCGAAGGTGGCGAAGGCGTAGCCGCGGTTCTCTCCTTGGTACGTCATCATGAGGCGCAGCTGGAACAGCCGCCCACCGCCTCCAGCACGGGCACCAGCTCGTCCTCGTACAGGTCGCGCGTGATCCTCGCCAGGAACACCTCGCAGCCGCGGGCGGGAGGGGGGCCCTGCCAGTCGGGCGGCGGGTCCCAAGCTTCCTCTGTCCGTTCTCCTGGACGATGTTGTAGCCCGTGCGCAACACTGAGGTCCAGCAGGTCCCTCTCCACGCAGCTCATGATGTCGAGCATCGCGCTTTGTCCACGGCGGCTGGTGACGACGGGGCAGCGGCTTGGGGCCCGTTGGAGCCCTTGACACTCACCGGCGCAGAAGCCTCGTGCGACAAAGCCACGGCGGGGGGCGGAATCAAACTCGTGAAAAGGCGGGAACTCGCTCGGGCCAAGCCTACCGGCCCAGCAGTGGAGAGAGGAAGAGAGAGTGGAGAGACGGATGGAGAGAGAGCTACCTTTGTAAACTCGGAAAATCACAATAAAATAGAAACCCAAGAAACTGTGTCTGACCTTTGAACCGCCCTGTATAATGACCCCTCACCCCAGTAGACGACCTGGTACCCCTCCTCACTCATCCACTCACTGACCCATCCACGCACCTCACACAGCCAGTCACTCACACACTCACCCACCCACTCACCCGCACACCCAGTCGCTCACACACTCACCTCACACACTCACCCACCCACTCGCTCACACACTCACCCACCCACTCACCCGCACACCCACTCGCTCACACACTCACCCACCCACTCACCCGCACACCCACTCGCTCACACACTCACCTCACACACTCACCCACCCACTCACCCGCACACCCACTCGCTCACACACTCACCTCACACACTCACCCACCCACTCGCTCACACACTCACCCACCCACTCACCCGCACACCCACTCGCTCACACACTCACCCACCCACTCACCCGCACACCCACTCGCTCACACACTCACCACCCACTCACCCGCACACCCACTCGCTCACACACTCACCTCACACACTCACCCACCCACTCACCCGCACATCCACTCGCTCACACACTCACCCACCCACTCACCCGCCACCCACTCGCTCACACACCTCACCCACCCACCCACTCGCTCACACACCCAACCCACTCACCCAACCGCCCACCCACTCGCTCACACACTCGCTCACACACTCACCCACCCACTCACCCACCCACTCACCCGCACACCCACTCGCTCACTCACTCACCTCACACACTCACCTCACAACACTCACCCGCACACTCACCCGCACACTCACCCGCACACTCACCGCACACTCACCCGCACACTCACCCGCACACACACTCGCTCACCAATCACCCCACCCACTCACCTGCCACACACACTCACCTCACACACTCACCCACCCACTCACCCACACACCACTCGCTCACACAACTCTCCCACCCACTCACCCACTCACTGATGATGAGAGAGAGAGAGGACACGCAGACTCCAAATATACAACAGTAGGCGTCGCCAGGGCCGGGATCGAACCCACGACCTCCTGC